ACATCTTTATAATGCGCATCCAGAGTTTCGACGATGATATCATCAGTGTCGAGCATATCAGCTAGCCATCCTCGTTTTTCGTGTCCCTTGACATATACGACAGCTTCATCCTGTTCTAATACAGCTTCCATAATTAAACGTCTCACCATGCTGTAAGGGACCATCCCATCATCCCACCGCAATCCATGGTGATAAGTACTCAACCAGGAAGTGCAAGATTTGTCGAATCTCGTCAGAAAATGCCATGGCATAGGATGTGAAAAAATATAGTGTGTGAGAATGGTTCCCCCTCTCAGCACCGCTACTTCCTTCACGATAAATTTCTTGTTAACGATGAATCCTTGTAGATCCACAAACGTTGGTATGACCATGACGAGCAATTTTTCGAGACTGCACCTCACCCTGGTTTTCCATTCTTTTATATTCGGGATACTTGCTGACGTTGCAATTTACATGATTTTGCGCACTACGTTGGACAACGGACAGTATTCGATTACACGATCGTGTATGATGAGACAATAGGCGGTAGTATTGGCGGGCACATTCTCCTTGCAGTCAAATTCTATGCGTATTCGTTTTGTCGCGAGCAAATCAATGACTGCAAAAGGTCCTTTCTCGATAAACGATAGTACGTTGAGCAGCGTACTCGAAGCTATCGATTCCATAATATGCTTTACGAAAACGCGCATACATGTCAAACAGGACAGCGTACCCCTTTTTACCAAAATCCAGATTTAAGTCACCATACGGATAAAAATCTGAATTTAGATATACTTTCACATTACTCAAATTACAATCGTCGAACACGCTGACATCTTGTGACATGACATTCTTTCGGCCGGTCTGTAGAGCAAAGATAACGTATCGCGGCTTCTCAAGCTGAGTCGCCGTTTTGACAGCCCATGAATGCTTGGTCGTATTCTGCAACAAAGGATACTCATACAGATCCCACGAGCGAAAACTTATACTCAGATAACGACCGCTTTCCAACGCTCGCAGCATTGATAATTTATTGATCTCGTTTAATGCTACATGAGGCATCCGCCACTGAACTTTGAATAATTCAATCTCAGGCTCCGTCGCAGGATTTCCCACCAAGCAATTGTAATCGTTGCGCGGTCGTATCAAAATCAATTCGTGGCGAGCGTTGACGACTACGCGTTTGTAATCTTCGCAAAAGCCCAACAGCATGTTGAGCGGCATGAGTAGTAAGTGGGCAGCTATGGGCCGTCAAAACAAACCCCCTCCACTCGACCTCCGGCGCCAGGTGGGGGTGGCCTAGACGGGACTGTCAGGGAAAATGGTGCGCTCTGATTGGTCAGTGACGTGAGGGTGGGCTACGAGGGAATTAAATGTCGCGTTTTGATTGGCTCGGCCCATAGCTGCCCACACGCTGATTGGCTCGGTCCATAGCTGCCCGTGCGACGATTGGAGAGGGTGGGGGTGTCGGCAGAGAAGAATACCACTGTAAAATGACGGATGGTAAAGACCGAGGAAAAATGGGGCCGAGAATTTTGTGCGTTACGGGGGGAGAGGGGGAAGGTACGGTCAGCAAACATGAATAGCACACAGCTTTTGTCTTGCAGGCCATTTTTTTGCTGCAGCGGTTCGATGTCTCCAACGTGTTGACGTCTTAGTGTGAAAGCATTTTTCTTATTATTTATGACGAGGACTTTTACGAGAATTTTCGGGAGACTCTTGCTTTCAATAGGGAGAAAGGGGAGGTAAAA